GAAGCGGCCGCCGATCTGCTTCAGGGCGTAGTGCCAGGGCTGCGCGGCAGGGAGCAGGGAGAGAAGCCTGTACCAGAGGTCCCGGCAGCCCTGGGGAGAGGGAGTCTGGGGAGAGCACCGGGGCCGGAGCCTGTACCGGAGCCCCCAACAGCTGCTGTGCAGACCCATGCCCCAGACTTACGAGAATGATGTAGTCCTTGGACCATCCGCAGGGAGAGGAGGGGGCCCGGTGCTGGGCATGTTGCCTCAGGGGGCCCCTCTGCCCGCTCAGCTCCTGCCTGCCCAGCAGACAGGGACGTCAGAGCATGGCGCGGGCCCTGGGATGGCTCCAGCTGTGGGAGCCCTGCCTGGCCAGGGCCGGTGGGAGAGGACCTACCGGAGGGTGCGTTTCTCTGCCAGGCTGAGAGGCACGGTGAGCAGCATGTGGCTGCGCTGGCTGGGCGAGAGGCTCAGCAGCTCCTTCACCAGCAGGCTCTGCTTGTCTGGGGGCACAAGGGGCTCAGCAAGATGCAGCCGGCCAGGACATGGTGTGCTCATCCTGAACCCGGCATGGGGACGGTGCCCAGCACCACCCGCCCCCACTCTCGGAGGACCCTAACCTTCCAGTGTGGCCCTGGCAGGGTCGGTCTCCAGGTCATACTGCCGCAGGCTGGGCCGTGCAGCACGGCAGAGCTGCTGCAGGGGTGGGCGGCTGCTCCGGCGCCGCAGCCGGGCTGTGCGGTTGTAGTACTGGGAGATGATGGCCCCACGGCTGTGCCCTGCGGGCAAGAGCAGGGCAGGGGGGTGGGTGGCTGTGGGAGAGCAGGGCAGACAGGAGAGCTCTGCCGAGGGGCTCCTGGGCCTGGGGAAGGGCAGGAGGCACCTACCGATGGTGCGGCTGGGCATGTTGGCGAGGATTCGCAGAGAGGCAGAGGAGTAGCCGGGGTGCTGCTCATCCTGCTCCAGCTCTGGCGAGGCTGCGGCACAGGCGTCCGGGGGGGCCAGGAAGGCCAGGTGATCTGGGAGAGGGAGGGCAGGATGCAGAGTGGTAAGAGCCAGAGCGCCGACGGCTCCAGTCCCTGTGGCCCCACTGCACTGCTCTGGCACAGAGGCCAGGCACCTGCCCTGGTGTGTGCTCCCCCCAGAGCACACCCTTCTCCAGGGACGCTCTCTGTGTCCCCAAGGGCAGGTCTGCCCCACTGCCTGCACTGGCGAAGGCATCAGCGGGCTCCTACAAGTGCTTTGGCCACAGCCTCGGCACGAGCCCTAGCTGGCCCAGACAGTACATGGCCCTGGGCACACACGCTGTCCCCACCGCACCCCGGCTGCGGCCACAGCGCTTTACCTCTGCCCCTCGCCAGCACCTCCAGCTCCAGACCCGCCTCTACCAAGCTGCTCTGCTCCTGGATGAGCTGGTGGAAGGAGGTATGCAGGGCTCCTTCGTTGTCCGGGCTTGGCTCCTGGCTGCAGGGACACAGATGCGCTCACCTGGGGCTGGGCTGGGCGCTGAGGCCCAGGGGATGGAGGCGTGGAAAAGCCCTGGTGCCAGCCCAAAGCCCAGCCGTGCCGCCCTGCGGCACGGGCACCCGGTGCTGCTCTGCTCCTGGATGAGCTGGTGGAAGGAGGTATGCAGGGCTCCTTCGTTGTCCGGGCTTGGCTCCTGGCTGCAGGGACACAGATGCGCTCACCTGGGGCTGGGCTGGGCGCTGAGGCCCAGGGGATGGAGGCGTGGAAAAGCCCTGGTGCCAGCCCAAAGCCCAGCCGTGCCGCCCTGCGGCACGGGCACCTGGTGCCTGCTAGGCACAAGGGCTGCTGTCTCCCGCAGCGGAGATGCCAGCCTCGCACTGCTGGGGCTGCAGGATCCCGGGAGCCAAGCATGCGGGGGCACGGGTCAGGCAAACGCGGGCAGTGGGAGGGCAGGCCCATACTCACCCATCGCTCTCGGTGTCCTCAGAGACACAGATGGTGAAGGAGGGTGGCTGGGACATCCTGCTGGGGCCAAGCGGGTCCCTGTGGCACCGCACTCCCACCCACACACCACCCTGCCACAGCGAGGAGACAGGCGCCAGCCGGCACCGCGCCGCCGGCACCCACGGTCACCCCGACCCCCATGGCTCCCCCGGGACATGTAGGGTCCTGCCCGCTCTTGGGACGGGGATGGAGCCAGAGCTGGCGCCGCTGCGTGCGGGGGCCCGGGGCAGGCGGGAGCGCGAGGGGCCGCGGGGCTAAACCCGAGTCTA